TTGTGTACCAACAGGTTCACATAGACATCTGAGTCATATTTAAGGCACCTGCCACTGATTTTGCTAAGTGCCCATGTGCATCTTTAGTTACCTAAAATGCCTTTTTGAAAACCCAGCCTTTGGTGTCTGTTTACTTGTTCTGGTTCAGATATGGCTGGAATCTGCTGAGGACAGAGGTTTTCTTGGGATTTCAGAGCAAGATGGCAGGAATTTACCAAGAGTAGCTCTTGCCCCAAAGCCTTTGAGTGCAACTGAATCCGCGTGTACCGTAGTCCTGACTGAGCCCTTGTTTAAAGTGGACCCAAGATCCACAGTGACCTCCTAAATCGGTCTTTTATACACACACGCGTGCATGCAAGCACATGTGCACACGCATGTTTTATCTTATCTGCACTTCCCTGATTCCTGAAGGCTGATCTCCTTTGTATATTCACGTGTATTTGTTTGGTATCTGCTGCATGGCTGCATTTGGCATCTGCATGCAGTGGCTTCATTTCCCTGACATTGTTTTACTGTAACCTACCCCTACTGGACTGGTCTGGATCTAGCAAATGTTCTGGTGAGTGAATATAGTACTTTTGGTGATTTAGGTTTTCACATGCATCTGCCAGTGCAACTTGCCCCTTACCTCTAAGCCTGCTTAGCATGGTCTTTGGAGTTTACTGGTCTTGCCAAAGTGCTTGAAAATACAAGAACAAACTGGGATTAAAATGAGGCCTGCAAAACTCCCAGCATAGGGGTCTTGGTGAGGATATGAACCAAGATTTCTAGAAGGTAAAAGTGAGTAGAAGTGACTGTCTTGTCAAAGTCTGGATCATTTGAGGAATTAAAAAATTCCCGGGGTCCATTATTTTTTTTTAAATACACAGTTAGAAATATTAGCCCTTGTGCCATGCTTAAATTCAAACCCAGGTGTTTGTGTCCTGCTATGGTAAAACTGTTGAAAGAGTTTGATCAGCAAACACAATTTCTACTTCTCTCCACCTGACTTGCTGTGCAATGCTTGTAGATATTATATTTCACTCCATAGGTCACTGAATAACTTTTGCAATTTGTAACACACATTGGAATCCTTCTGGATGAGAGAGGCTACAGAAATATCCAGTATAATAGCATTACTGTTTCTTTGGAAAAGATTGGATGTCTAGAACAGGGTCCTGAAGTTCCGATTTCTTTTGTGCGCATATATGCTTGCTTGAATTTGTCTCCAAAGCTTTAGCTATAGTGAATTGGACTGCTCGTCTGATTTAACATTTGCTGGACAACATCCTCATTTCACAGGTCTCTCTGTGTTACTGTGCAAATTGTTTGGCATTAGGACACCAACAGTAATTAAGTGAATTAATTGGAACCATAAAAGACGCAGTTACTTGATTATATTTGTCTACACAAGCTTACAGACGTGTTTGTCTTGAGGTCTGAAAAGATTCCAAGTTTCCCCTGTGCTCAGGTATGCTCATGTGCAGGGCTTTTTATGAGCAGTTCACAGAGCGGTGCAAACCATCAGGACTTCAGCTGAACAGCTTTTATGAAGGACGTGGTGCTGATTCCTGGGTATTCAAATACCAAGTGCTTGGCAGTGTGTATGACAGGAAAGCCTTGAGGCACTGAGTGTACTGATTTGGGGTCCTTTTGGCCAGGCTGCTATTCTTGCCTGTGGTTATATTGGCGTCATCCATGCAGGATACAGCATGAAGTCTCTGCCTGCTTCCTGAAGTGTTTGAAATGCAGTATTTATCCAAATTTAAGACAACCCCCCCCCCCAATAACTGGATTCAGTACATGGAAAATATATATAAATTTGTTATTTTTTTGTATATAGAATCTAGTTATTTGAGGGTCATCTTGAATTCATCCCCTGCCACCTCTGCAAGGTGGGGCAGAGAAGGTGGTATGGGGAAGTTAAGCAGCTTGCCCCCTGTTTGTGCCTGCCCCCTGCTACATCTGCTCCCTGCCTTCCTCCTGCAGCCTCAGGCCCCTTTCCCCTCTGCCTCAGCTCTCTTTTCTTCTTCCCAGCTTCTGCTGCCTCCATGCTTCCCAGCTTTTACCCTTGTTCTTTGCTGGCAGACTTCATCCCTGGTCTATCCTGGGGCACAGAACATGGCCCTCACCCAACCCTTGTAGCAGCCTTGTGGGCTGCACACTGCTGCTACAGGGTTGGGCTAGGGATGTGTTCAGTGCTCCAGGCTGCAGCATGGATGGAGCCTGCCAGCACAAAGGAAGGGCAAAGGGCAAGGGTGGGGGGAAGGAAAAGAGGAGGTGGGGGGCAGAGGCTGCATTGATGGGGAAGATTGGTGGGAGGGGGGAGATGGCCTGCAGGGGTGCTGGCTGGTGGAGGGGCAGCAGCTGCAACTACAGCCTTGACCCTAAATAGGGGCTGGAGCCCCAGGCACAGCAGCTGCTGTCCCCCTGCCCTTGTACTTGATTCTAAGATGAGGAGCTCCCCCCATGTTAAAAGGGGAAACCTCGCCCTAGAATCAAGTAAATATGGTAAGCATCCCTCGTGTCCTGGCATAGCTTGATGAATGAGCAAGGGCACATCCATAGACTCCAATGGAGCTGGACAATTTATGCCAAAGCTGGATCTGCTTGGAGACTTCTACTACAGCATCCTCACAAACGCATGTGCACACGCCGGTGCTATGGTCACAATACTAGCTGACTTAATAAAACTGAATTTTTTAGCAGCCATTTGGAAATAAGCCACTTGCTGCCAGACTTGCCTGTGTCGACAGTACCGCACAAAGCAACAGTATGATGCATGCAGTGTTTTCAGCTTGGCACTGTTGCTGCCCTAAGCCCTGTAGAGCATGAAACTAATGCAGAAAAGCATAAGATTTGCTGCCATGGTTGGTGTTCACATAACACATGGTGAGGGACCCTGTTAAAGAGCACAGATAAACAGGTAGCTATGTGCCTTCCACAGCTGTGCATTTTGTAGCATTATCAAATAAATAGTTCAGCTAACATGGAGAGGGCATGGCACTCATGTTAAGACTTGAGTGCACAGCTGCTCTTTATTGAAGTTCCTGCTGTTGACTGCCTTGCCTTGACCATCTCCTGGGATGCCACACTTCTTGGACACTCTTATTCTATGTCACATGACCATGACTCTGGGGAAAAACTTTGTTTTTTAATGTCCTGTCTTCCAAAAAGAAGGTGCATGTTTTATTTGGAGGCACGCGTTATGCTAGAAAATACAGTAATGACTGCTCACTATATCCCTCCTGGGTTGCAGACAGTTCTCACTCCAGTCCCACGGGTGGGAAAACCAATGTACAAATTTTCCAGGCCTGATTTTCCAGAAGTACTGAGTGTTCGCAACTCCGGTTCAAGTTAAGGGAGCAGCCTGTATTAAGCTCCTTGGATGTTCAGACTGAGATGTTTTGACTTAGGCAGCCAAAGTGGTGACACCCAAGATGAGTGGCTGCTCTTGAAAACTTTTTGGCCTGAGTGAATGACTCGCTCATGGTCACATGTGGAGTCACTGGAGCCCTGTCTCAGCTTCCCAGTCTTGTGCTGGAACCATTGAGATGAAACGTGTTCTTAAAGCTGTGAAGTTGTGGCATATGTGGGGGGCCCAGCAACCCGTAGTGTATCATTTACTTCTATCTGTAGGTGATCAAAGATGACCTTTTTAACAGGAAAAGGTGCTATGCATGTCGGTTTGTAATTTTACTTTACGGAGAAAAGGAGCTACTCCAGCTACCTATGGGATTAATAAATCCAAGCAGTAGGTTTGTATTAAATGCGGCCATGAAATATAGTTGGCGTCTGTTCTTTGCAAAATTGTATTGATGAATCTAGCCAATTGCTTTGGCGGAAGCTTTATTTACATGGTGAAGGGAATCACCCAAAATATGTGAACTCTTCACCTTCTAAGCAACAGAGACAACACAAACTTTCCCAAGGGTGACAGATTCTTGGCCCGTCCCTTTCCACCTGTCATATACCAATTTTATTAAAAAAAAAAAAATAGTGCAACAAATCTTTCCCCACACTTAAAGCAGCATGAAATTATAATATGGTGGCATAATAGCTACCCAAATTGTTTTCATGGTTTGGTTTAATGGTGCCTGATTTTGAACAGTTTGGAAAGAGCAACATGTGGTGTTTGCCCTGCTGCCAGTATTTTCTCCATTGCTTTACAGGACACGTTGAGGCTCTTTGGATTGGGAAATGCATGACCTGAAATTGAAATCTGTTCAGTTGCTGGAATTACCTGGCTCTGATGTTAGTTTTTTTTCGCTATGTCACAAATAAAAATAATTGATCTGTCCCAAGTTTTGCTCTGTGGTGGTCACTTCCAGGGACTTCGGTGGGAGCAGTCTCGGATTCAGGGAAGTCATTTAATTTTGGGTAGTGGAATGAAGTGGACTGGTGGCCCACGTTATCGGTAGTGAGAGGCAGAGCTGTTTGTGTCAGACTTGTCCTTTCCGATCCACCCCAGTCATTAATGAACAAGGTTGCCATCGGATGGTGTTGGAGTCTATAGAGGGTCCCTTAGGGGACAGGCGTGCCACCATCACTGCTGCCAAATTGGTCAGACTTGGTATCTTCCTGTATGGATGGAGAGGAGTAAATAGACCTAGAGAGAGGCCTTTCTCACTCCATGAAGGTGGTCCCACTGGATCAGGGTGAGCTCCACTGGCAGAGGGGTATGAAGGAACTGGTATGGCCACTGCCCCAGCTCTGTGCCCTGCTCTGCCTATTTTGTGGCAGTCTGGCACCTTTCACCAGGTTTAACCTTGTACCTGCCTCCTTCTCCCAGACACCTGCCATGCCCACACTGGTATCTCCTTTCCTTGTCAGGGGGTGGCAGAACAAGGTTTTGGGCGGTTTGGTTCCTCTTGCTCCTGCTTGGAGTTTTAACTGTGTCTTTTTCCTTCTCTTCCAGAAGGTAACAGGGGCTGCAGGTGGAGCCTTACCAAAAAGGAGTAATGGGAAGCTATTTTTAGGTATCGTAAGTAGCTATTTTCACACGGTCCTTGTGTCTAGCCCTGATGCATGTGTGTGTCGGCTTTCAACCCGCTCTTGTCTCTGGCTTGGCGTTTTAGGTGGGATTTTTTTTTTAGTTTGTTTGAATTGTTCGGAATGAAACAGTGACATTTTTATTTTTATTCTTCCAGTAATTAACGCTCTTCAGACTGTATTCGGCATTTTAACCTTGTAGCTTATTATATATCTGTTGGAATAGGACTATTATATACAATATTATTATATACAGTAACCTTGCAGCTCATTATATATCTGTTGGAATAGGGTCTCCTTTATGTGCCTACTTTAGGTGCACCACCTCATTTCTCTGAAATGTTACTGTGACCTGGTGGCTTACAGAGAACCAGCTTGGGGCCCGGGGTCTGTGCTCGCCTGTCGTTGTTCACGGGTGTAGCCCCATTCCCTTTAGTGGAACTGCTTGAACAAGTAATTAGCCACCCGAGTCCTCACCTGGGTCAGAGCAAGTAATACGGTATACACATGTAATGACCATCTGTAATAAGAATATGCCTAGTCTGTCTGTCTGGAGCACTCTGGTTGTCTCCGCAGCCAATCACAATGCTTGGTGAAACTACCAATCAGAGCCTGCCTGCATCTCCCACGGCCAGGGAGCAAGCTGCTGGCAGGTCGTGCAGCCCCTGATTTGCAAGGCACTCCGGGGACAACCTGGGCAGGGTGCCAGCCAGTGGGTGCTGCCCGGGGGGTACCACCGCTGCAGAGGGAAGCACCGGGGTCCCCCCTAGCTCAGGGGATGGCTGGCTGCCCCAGAAAGGCGGCATGAGGGCGGTTGGGTGTGCTGGCAGGTGGAGAAGGTGGCGGGGATGGTGCATGGGGCACTGCCCGAGTACGCCCAGGCTTCCAGCACCCCATGCGCTGTCCCCGCCACCTTCTCTGGATAGGACCCTTGTACATGGGAGGAATATCACTGTAATTTTGTTGTGTAGCAAACTAAAATGCATGGGACGTGTTCGAGTTTGGAACATTAAAAAAAATCATTTAAATTGAAATCTGCCGCTGAATGCATTCGCTGTTACAAAATGTATTCATAACATGCTGCCAACCGTCTACACAGTTACGCAATTAAATCATTAAAAAGAGCAATTAAACCACTCAAAGAGGCAACTTCACATGTACACGGGCCCTCTTATTCTATGACTAGCAACAAGTCACCAGGTCAGACTTTTGACAAAATATGTATTTATATTCCTAAGCCCGTGTTGACACATGGGCAGCTTTACATAGCCTTCTCGAGGGTGAGAAGTGTTGATCCCGTGAAAGTATTCGGTCAAAGGATAACTAAAAATCCTGTATTTAAAGAAATACTTTTGCAATAAAAATTTAATCGCAGATGTTTTGCGGGTTTCAGCTAGTTGTTTAATAACACTTGTATATGCCTGATACGTTTCCCTATTCTAACGAGTACTGGAACGCGAAAGAGAGAGAACGAAACGGCTTAGGGATTTCTCTCTTCTCATTCTCTCTCGTTAAACCCCAAGATTCTTTGAAATCGGTTGATTTTTGGATGATTTGAGAGAGCTTAAGGCACCGCGCGCGCACACCTCCACTCTAACCCTTTTGTTGCCTCTAGTGTCTTTTGCAATTCCTTATTTATTTTTATTTTTTTCCCCTTTCCCTGGACCGCATGACCACTACTGAAAGTGGCCTAACACAGCACACTCTTTCAGTGGTGAAGGGGTTAAACGTTTTCATAGGTTATTTCTGCTCTTGTGGTGGAGGTGGGGGGGAACAATAGCCTGGCATCCCCTTGGAGTTGCTTTGCTGTGTGGACTGTGTCGTTGAGAGGGCTTGAGAGATTGTGATCAATTCAGTGTTTTTTATTTCATGTTGGAGTAAGCATGGCACAGAGTGCTCGGAGAAAAGAAAGGGAGAGCAAGCGAGAGGGCACACGCCACTGACACTCCTCTGGTGATAAGGGGAAGATGTTGTTAATGAGAAGTTAGTCAGCAGGAGTAGGCTTTAATGCCTCTTCCTAGTGGTTTGCATTGAAAATAATTTTCAGTTAACACCCAACAATTGCAAAGCAGCCGCGGAAGCCTCCCAGAGAGAGCAGGCAGTAAGGGAGTGGTGGCTTTGCAGCGCTAGCAATGTGCGTGAGCAACAAGACATGTGAAAATGCTCCGAGAAATACGGGGCCAAGCTATGTTGTTGTGGATTTACTGCATACTTCTGAGGCTGCCGTTGCTGGGCTTCATGGGCACGTTTCATAGGGTCGCTGATGCCGAGTCAGGAGCCTTTGCAGTCTGCTTAAACAGCACCGAGTCCTGTCCCTTCTTTAAACTCTGCCCTGACGTTAGCTCTGCCTGACTCTGCTCCTATGAGGGTGAAGCCAGTGTGTGGTTTCTAACTAATAGGTTTTCCTGCCTATCCATTTCTGAGTCAGTGGCATTTTGTCAGGGGTGAATCTGGTACCTTAAACTGCCACTGCTACTTCAGGATCAGGCAGATTGGAGGTTTCTGGAGGTTTTGCTCTTCTCTGGGCTGCATGCTCTTCCAGGGCACTCTGCACAGCCCTGGCTGCTTGGTCTCATTTTAATGGCCTCGGGTGGTACTTGTATAGAAATGCCGAGAACCCCCTGACACTCAGCATCTTAAAGCACTTCGCCATATTCAATCATTGTCAATGTCCCTGTTTGACTGGGGCTCCGTAGAGAGGTTATATTCTTAACAAGTCAGGACTTATGGGGAAGCAATATATTGCTCTGAGATCGCAGTGTTTTGAGGTGCGTCTACGAGCGAGTCCCTGCTGCCGCGAGAGACTGGCTTTATGAGCAAAGTCAATCCAGTTTAGGTAGTTGTTGCATTGCTACTTACAATCCTCTTTGATATAAGGCTATTGGGGATATTAATCCCCCTCCTCTGTATTAGGAAAACATCTTTCAAAGCTCTCCCCACATGTTCCAGTGCACCTGCTACCCCGAGAACAAACTGGAAATGAAGAAAAAAATGATAAAAAAAATAAATAAATCCAAAGCACCAAACTTGACATGGCCCCTCTTCTCCAAGACTCTGAACAAGCTGCAGTGGTGAGCAAGTTTCAGTTTTCTGCAAGAGTGCTTGGTATCCACGTTGGTTCTCTAAGGTGATGTCTGCACTGCCATCAAGAAGCATAGCTGCACACAGGTACCCAGTTACACACTTCTCGTACCCATTAAAATGAGACCTACTGTGAAGTATTCAAAGTAGATCAGAAGTGGACTGCAGTGAAGTATCTGAAGTGGACTGCAAAGTGGACCAGAAATACTTCTAGTCCACTTCTGGGTCTGCTGCTGAGCATGTGGCGGGGGGGGGCCCGTGCTCCCCTGGGGCACTCCCTCCTCT